ATCGCCGACGTTTTCCGAGCCGGGTCAGTTCCGGATTAAAACTTTCCATGACCATACGAAGCGCTAAGCGTTAACTCGAATTGAAATTAATTGCAGAATTAAAAGAAAGGTTCAGAAAAGTTGCAATTATGTAACCACGGTCGTTACATAATGTTAGAAAGAGAATAATCAGTATCCTTTTGTGACGTGGATGAATAATGCCTTAAAATCTGTAACTATCTTTTCTTTTGCTTCAAAGTTACATATTATACATCGAATTTTCTCATCTTTCAGAATATCAATATTCTTTTTAAAAACTTCAAGTAAAGAGAGGTTCTTTGGCTATATAATAATTTGACAGAACACTCATTTATGACAAAATTTAGATTTTAAAAAATTTGATAAATATCTTCATAATTAAAATTTTCAACTAAAGGGAAGCCTTTCTTTTGCTCGATGAAATATGTGTAAATTTATGCAATATATTTAAGAATCTAAATTAAAAAGAGATAACTTTCTAAAAACTGTTTATGTAAAAAAAGAATAAAATAAAATTTAAATAATATTATCATCTAAATTGTTATGTATTATTGTCAGTGTAATCATCAGAAATTTTTTGAAAAACACGTTCTGCCAATAAAAGATACCTAAGCGCAAGGTATATCTATCGCAGTGATTATCAAATTACAGCATCTAACAGATACAATGCCTGAAGCGCGTTCGTGATCGGACATCCATCAAATCATCGATTCACTGAGATTTCACCAGTAACTGTAGCCACGATCCTTTCAACCTGCCATACGTCACGTACATCGAACGTCTCGCTTCGGCGCTTTCGAAGCGTAATCCCCGGGGTGTATAGCTCGCCCGGCGCGAGTCAATTTTTGCGACAAAAGTCCGGTCGAACAACACGCGGCCGCACCCAGTGAAATGTAACTCTTACACTGGCCCAAATTACTCTTTCCGGGAACAAAAACTACATATATTCGCTATTCGTAGCACGTTGTATTCGATTCGATCCGACCCTATCAAAAGGAAAAAAAAAAAAAAAAGGAAAATTGAATATACCGTTGGCCACTCGGTGGAGTAATTTAGATGCACCGTTTATCACACGACTATATAGTATATAATATCATGTGATTAAGATCTTAAATATATCATATATCACAATATACATAGTTATAACTACCCAGTGCTGTACTCCATGCCCGTAAATAGAAGCCACTTCCAATAGATGATATTCTAAACTGTATATGCTCACAGTGGCTTTATAATTAAATGAAGCTATATATATATAGTATAAAACATCATTCGACTAACCGAGATAATTACACGGGAAAATCGTCGGCTATCAAAGTTTGAAAATTTAATTAAAATAAATATTCTTTATCGTTTTTACATAAACATTCTTTATCGAGCTACGTAAAGAAGATAGTAAGAGTACAATTGGAATGATTTTTACTTTTTTACGTGCGTCATCTTGTCGAAATGTATCGACATTTACTGCACCGATGGCAGCTGCTCCTACACATACATTGTGTAACTATAAGATCGCTGCATGTGCGCCGGCTTCTCCTCCATCTAATCCTCTTCGAACGGCACTATACGAAACGAGACAAAAACCTTGCTTCTTTGTTCTGGCACGTTGTCCTTGCGCAACGAGCGGGAGTTACAACGTTGTAACCGCACGACACGCCAGATGCACCCACACCTACGTGACAGTGCCGTGTATCCGCTTCACGGGCCACGGGGTCATAACTTTGCGGGCGAGTTTACTACAACATCGCACAGTGTTGGTGTGACGGCGATTTTTGGTCCCGTTGCTTTATCGACAAGTCTGTCCGTTATTTATTATTCCCCCGTTATTGATCAGTGCGAATCACCGTGGCACCCTTGTAAAACTCGGTCGCGGAATATGGATGCGCTCATCGCGACAATGATAAATTATTTTACTACGTAACGCTCGCGTTTTAACTTTAACGGCGCGGATGTTTGTGCCGGGTTAATCAAAATATACAACGAACGATATAACGTGCACGATTTGTAAAAAAGTTTCAAAAAAACTAACACAAATTATTTTGATTCATAAGTGATCTCCGATCACATGTTTGCATTAACGGAATCAAACATCTCCTTTTAGTATATTGTTCTAACCGAAAATAGCTCACTGAAACGAACAAAATTTTACGATTCAGAAGTTCGTAATACATCGAATATGATACATTTGAAAAGATTGACTATCATGCGATTGATAACGCAAAATCGATATTTTAAATATTGACCATTATCAGAGAATGTTCCATCACGTGATATCTTGAATGTCATGCTGTATTTTTTTTCTTTTTTTCATTTTTTCGCAATACCATTCGGCGGCTTTCAATAGTAATTCAACGCGATGCGCGATGTTCGCGAGCATTCTGTTTCCGTTATAAAAAAGTTCTCATTTCCCGTCGATCCGCATCCGGAACTGTTTCCTGATCGTGATCTTTTACATCCGACTATGTCGAAAGTTCGATACAAACTGCTCCGATATGCGTACCGCGAGGTACGATGCTTTTATCATTGCATAGCGAAAACGTAAATGACAGTCAATCGATTTTCGATGAAATACAATTCATTAACTTGATATGAATTTTCAAGCTGGTACAGATCTAAAGAGAAATCGCGTTGAATGACGCGCTCGCACGTGCGTCTTCACGAATCGCTGCGGACTCGTTGCTCATATCGCTTGTATACACGCCGGTGTTTTATCTGTTATTAAATGAATCGGTACCGGGCCAGCAAATTTATTCATTTATCGTATAAAAGAAAAAAAAGAATAGTGCATCACAATTGATGTCGATTCTCTTTCTGATCTTATTTTCTTCTATAATGTATAAATATATGCGAATGTACTATCTTTGTATTTAAATGATATATCTTGATTGAATATTAAGAATTGATCAAAATTGATTATTGCATTCCAGATAAGTAACGTGAAAAATGTTTTGTGTGTCAACTAAAGTAGATTTCAATTTAAATTTTGAAATTAAAATTTAAGAAATTAAGAAACATAAATTCTCGTAATTCGATTTGCAAGATGCCATCCGTTCGTACGCTTACTAATTCGACATTAACCTTCTTTAAGACCTTAAAATCTTTCTGGATTCATATTTCTCAAAGAGATGTGTTCAAGTATAAAATCATGCTCTAAATTTTAATATCAAAAAATTTTAATGCACAATAATAAATTATTCTCTTATAAAACAAGGAATATATTTATATTATATAAAACATAGTCATATTTTTAAAACATAGAAAATTAGTTTATATTGTGATTACATAAAATACAGTAATAATCATAAAACAGAAAATTAGTTTATATTGTGATTTATCAATGCGCACACATTACAATTGATATTTTATGACTATGTAATTCATAAAATTTTATCTTAGGTACACACAATTAAAGTAAGAATATAAGAATTCTGAGAAAGAGAATTTATGTTAATTCTCAGCAAGAGAATCGACTTATTTCATACAAGGATAAACTTTTTTTTACAAAATTCAAATCTTATTCAAATGTTCGGTCGCCGTGGGTTAACTGCTAAAGTTCATATAGTCCCGTAAAAAAAACGAAATTTCTATGTGAATATATTTCTTGGTTTCTACGTGTACCAATTTATGAAACAAAAAAGTATATGTAAAAAGGTTTAAAATACTTTTAATATCCCTAGAGATACTCTTTGAAATTTATACATTTTTATATTTATATCGACGTAGCCAAAGTATAATGCTGTAGTTTTATTTTTTATTAAATATTTCGTCTATAACAAGCCTTATTAAAAGCACGGCAAATTTCCGGTTTATGTAAAAAGAGAGAGATATACATATATATTTACTTTCATATTCCATGTAAATATAATATAAATTTAGCTTTCGTTGTGTGACATACTAAAAAATATTTTTGCATAAAAAGAAAATTCTTTTTTAAGATCCGATAAGAAATATTATGATATGAAGGTGCGTTTTCCACATTGTATAATAATAATCTAACGAGATAATAATCTAACGAGAGAGAGAAAAAGTGAGACGGAAAATATTATATATATAAAAATAATAATAAAAATAATTTCTTAAACAAATGTCTTCGTGAAAATTTCCAACATTACTATTATGGCTGCTGAATATCGTCGGTAATTAGCGAGCAATCTAGCACTAATATCGGCGAAATGACCGTCATCAGCGTGCGCAAACACGCTGTACGTAACATTTCGTTCGCAAAACATATTCTAGTCTAAACTGATCCATGTGCAAAACACCGTCAACGGATAAAGGGCCGGGTCATGCAAGCTCGTCCATCCCAACCCTCCCCTATCCGCAGGCTGCAGATTAATCTGCGATCTGTGTCTTACCTGCAGGCCAAATACAAACTTGCTTATCTGATTCCGTCGTTTCTGTACCTAACAATCAATACTCAAGCAAATGCTAGCGACGTACGTCGAGAATCCACTATTTATCTGGATAACATCAATGATCATGTATGCAATTACACTATATACTCGATTCATCATCGTGTTGTCGATGCGTATCTGTCGTGATTCTGACAATAAAATGAACACTAATGATAAATTTCACGAGACCGAGAAAATACTAAAAATAAATTAAAATTTTCTGCATAGAAATTTCAAAAAACAGTTTTAATAATGTTTTTAAAATAATGCAATGCAGTTCCTATATATTTACGTTACTTTGGATAAAAGTAGCTTAGCTTACGTTTCGCTAAATAATATACTATTATACGAAATGCACTATGAAAGGATAGCACTATTTCCACATAATATGTGGAACATGGCTTGTAAATTTAATAATGTTGGTATAGATTTATATAAAGGCATTACATATGTAGTCTAGTACCACACCCAGTCTACAGAGATATAACGTTGTATACAACGTAAACAAAAGATATTGAACAACCACATTCAACACTAAATACGCGATGAAAACACAAATCTTTAATTTTATAAATTGTTATGACTCACCAAACTGCATTCTCCTTGTCGTGAATAGCTTCCACTCTGAAAGCAGAAATAATCTCTGTTAGTTACTTACTCTTCTGACTGAAACGTCTGACTGAAACGAGTCGAGATCTTAAAAATATGAATATACGAGGAAGGCCAAATTACGCGATTATTTCCATTTCATCGCGACTGGCAGAGCCGGTAAAATGCTTAAAGCTTTATGCAACCGCTTAATGAGTTTCGCGAGTTAGTTGTGGACATGCTAATTTCCGACGCTGACGTTCCTATGTTGTGTGTCACGCAGGTACGTTCACTCGCGATCAGAGAGTCTTGAGTGGAAGTCTTGTACAAGGGAGTCGCAACGTCAGCGGCGTACCGGCTTTCGAGACGAACGTGCCACGGAATGTCACTACTGCGGTCGGTCAGACCGCTTTTCTTCACTGCAGAGTTCATCAGCTAGGCGACAAGGAGGTGAGTGACAGCATAATTCCTACATTTCGCAGCTCTTCCCGTTCACAGACAACTTACTAATTACGCTAGGAAATCCGCGATAGACGGTATTACAACGAAAGCTTTGCTCGAGCATCAGTTACGTTTTAAATAAACAGCCAATTTTTGACAGACAAATATCAAACCTGTAAATTATTTTATTGAGAAAATAAAGATTTTATCAAATCATAAAAAAATATTATACTACTTTATGCGTTAATTAAATTTGACAACAACACATTTATGAAGCCCGTTTATGGCACAGGTTTTATCGATGCAAGATATCGAGATACAAGATAAAAAATGAAAAAAAAAAACTTGTTTGAACCTTTGAGAAAAAGAGCTCACACAACCTTTTTAGTCGTGACTCTTAAATGTGATATAGATATTAGGTAGAAAAAAAATTGCAATATTCTCGTCGCGTCAAAGGTAGAGCGGAGGTTGCTGTTGCGGTTATGGCTGCTTCATCGTTTTTCAAAATCCTCAATCCCAGGCATGCCTCTCTGTCAGGCTATATAGATCAGAGTTGCTGGGTTAACATCACCACAAGGCTGGCCTGCGGTTTCTGGTTAGATCGTTGATAGAATATGCATGACGCCTGTTTGAAGGGTTAAACCTGCTCAAAAGCGAATAGAGGTATGCCGGCTATTATCTTTCCAGATTTTTGACTAAGAATCTTGATTGACTAGTAATTGAATTCGTCATGCTTTTCACACCGAGCTTTCTCGGTTCTTTTTCGCTATTAGTCGAGCATTATAAATCGAATTTATAAGCTTTTAATAAAAATACATAAAAATGCAAAATTATTCAAAAACAGGGAATTGATAATATAATAAATTATAATAAATATTATTACAATAAATAATAATAAATTATGCAATGTCTATCAATCGCAGGAATTTTAATGTATTTTCTTGCGCACGTTCTGTTAAAGCTTAATATTTAATCAAGTCGCGCAATCTTCCGGTTATCGTGCTGGAGTTCCCGCAGCATGCGAAGATTCCATATTTCGCGAAGTTTCAGCCTAGTTCACGGAATATACGTGAAATGTATCGACGTTACCTGCATAACAAGACTCGATATTACGATAAATACCGATACCGTAAACAGGGTTTCTCAAAGTTTCAGAAAATATTACATTTATTGCGTTAAATACTGCGAATTTAAAATATCAGAAATTGAATTAAAATCGCGTAATCATAATTATAAAAATTTAAGCGGCGTTCGCATAATTATTACGTACCTCGCGTGTAACTTCGCTTTTACATGGGAATACTCCCTCTTTTACAGTTGAATTGTTGCAAAATATCTTACTACGTGGGAAGAGGCAGTTGGACTGATTACTCGTTAACGACCCAATTATTCACAAGCGGGTCAATAACGTGAGTTTCAGCTATTTCCGAGAGGAAGAACCGAGATGGAGAATGTTCGATCACGCATCACCGATAACTTGCAAACGTCACGTATTTTCATTCCGATAATTACAGGCTAACCGCGACGGAATTGCGATGAGACTCGTGCGAATCATGCACGGCGTTGCGCCAAAGTTATTAAAATAATTTTTTCGTGATTATATTTCTCTATATTTACGTAGCTCTGCTCGCGATATAAAAATGTGTTAATATACGAGCTTTCGCGAACTCTAATAATGCCGAAGAAACGCTCTTTTCTAAACAAAGCACGAGCATGAGAGATATATGAAAGTGCCATTATTACGCTATGTCGCATCGAAATCGTAGCTGCTGCATTTTCGAGCATGACTACCGCTCCACGAATGTCACGCATCGGACGCACACAATAACTCGTTTCTCATTTTACGAGAGATATACGGCGTCACATACGCTCTTATTATTAGAGGAGAGCAATTGCACGCCGAAATATAATGAGGTTGCTCGTGCGCAAACCAATTACGAAAATTCGCGCGTTTCCTCGACTATACCAAATCGAGCCCACATCTCAAAAGGAGGAAAGACATAGGAGAGCTCAATCATTGAGAAAAAACGTGCTGATATTGTTCCCGCAGCGACGGTACCCGGTGGAGCTGAGACGGCGAGAACCGACAGGTCGAATCGTAATAAATTACACGTGAAAATCGCAGGTCGTTTCTTGTGACCGGACGCCTTATCACGTCTTGACACGCTCCCGAATGATTGGCTTAAGATTGGGATTGGCAATAGACTACCTTGGAACTTACGATAGAGTCGCAGAATATAAAAAAAGATCATTTATGTAGTGTAAAAGAATGGATAGTTGAAAATAAAATAAAAGACGCAGTTCTCGTGCGTTATAATATAATAGCAACTATCGAAAATTTTTGTGCATAATAATTATATATATATATATATATATATAATTAACATATACTCTCTTCTCTAATAATATATGCATAATGATATATCACATATAATACAATATTAATAATAATATTACATGTTATATATAACTACATTTTCGTTAAAATATATAATGCAACCTACCAAAAACTCATTAAAACAATGATATATTTATTTGGTATTTCAGAATAGATTTGACGAATATAGTTTGCGAGGTTTTTTCGTGGAAAATATTGAATAACAAAGTAGAAAAAAATATATGCAGTTACTCACTTTAATAAAACTGCAAAACGAATTCTAATTTCAAATTTTATTAATTTATATCTTATAACACGCTATTGAAATTCAAAAATTCTGCGCGGATGTTAGCGTAAATGACGGATAAAGTTCCGAATAGGTGAACCCTCCGATTTTTTTGAAACTACACTATTTTTTGTATTTTTTAACGCTGGACTGTACATAGCGCTGTGTTTCGCGGTTTACACGTTAACTTGAGAAAGTCGGTGGTTTGACTTGCAGAAAGTTGGCAGCGTATATGAAGTTATTGCGGGGCAAATGTTTGGAGCTAACTGAGACATTTGCACGTCACTCCTTTTCCGACTTAACAAAGCTGTTTACAACATATCCTCCCTCCATACTTTCGTAAACTCTCCCGTCATAAACATATTGTTTATAGTGTTATATGTATACATACTTGGAACGTATTTAAAATATTTATTAAACTCGCTCAATTTTCCTCTTTCGCCATCAACATATTGATTATGCTGTTGTTAAAATATATATACTTAAAACGTATTTAAAATATTTATTAAGCACACTAATTATCTTGCAAAAAAGCTAGCGATTATTCAAAATATTTGTATTTCATCCTTAAATCAAAAATCAATAGGATGAAATACGTTTAAAAAAAAGAAGATAAATTTTATTACGATATCGTGTGTGTAAAAGAGAGATCTTACAACAAAGAAATTAAAATTTTAACCTATTACTACTGCGTAGAAATGCAGAAAAAACATAATTTATTCTGCATGTACTTTTCTCCGTTTTCTTATTGTCAATCAATTTTTATACATATATACAAAAATTGTAAAATCTGCAAAGAAAATTATTCACACACATACACACACACATTTTTCTCTATCTAATTACATTTTATTTTTATCCGTAAATTAGTTTCGTAATTTCATATTACTTGACAGTATTCGACGATAATATAGGAAAGTCTAAGTACTCATATGTACTTCCGGCATTGATCGAAGTTGTAATCGTTCTGCGTTTAGTGATATTCTCGTTGTATCTCGAAAGTTTGTGAGTGGTATTTACGTTGACACATTGTATCAGAGAGCTTCAGCAACTCGAAATCGGGACATTAACTACGTTCGCACGTGCAACTTGGTACCGCCATATGCGGCTTATACAGGGTGCTCATCCGTAAAATGGAAACGCAACATTTGCATTGCTAATTCCATGCGTTACATTACGCGCTTGTTGACCCGAAATAATATTCCAAAGGAAAAGTCATCAACTTGCTCTCTGTCATATAATGTATAATGCATTTATATATTTCGAGTTATACAAAAAAAATTAAATAAGCATAGATACAAGTAAATAGCTATTTCTCTAACTGAATTTAGTTAGTCTGCGATCTCTAAATTTATCTTTCTCTTAAAGAAATTTGTATTCAGTATTATAAAAATTGTTAATATCTTTTGACAAAAACAATTCTCAGTTTTATTTTTTCCAATCTACAACATTCGCCGTCAAAATCTCTTTCGATAATATTTTAACTCGTATAATAATAAATGACATATCTGTTCGAGAACTATTTTAGTTCGGAACCTTCACCTCTAAACTTCTATCTCTCGTCAAGAGTTTCTGAGAGTTTCCGGCATTTATACCATATAATCCGGTCGTGTAAACGATCCTTTCACCCAGGTCGATTTACTCGAGGGAAAATAAATTTGGACGAATCTGCCGGATTCCCGCTTTGGAATTCCGCACGATAAAGTTATATCGGCGAGACGTCGTTGTATATATTCAAAGTGACGGAAAGAAAACAGCTCGGTAATTCGATCGTTTCGGCGAAGCCCATAGCTCTTTTCCCGGTTTAAATAAATATCGCGCCGGGGAGCGGAAGTGTCGTTCATCTCGAGGTTCTTTCTAACCCGAGTCCCGACCCAAGATTTACGCGCGACCTTGCGAACAAGGAGGGAGGATCGGATTTTCGATGTAGATGATCAGTGCCGTTACGGCTTTGTTTGAGTAGCGAAGCGTAACTGCGGAATGCCACATTGTAGATCCACGTTGAGAAATCTCCGAAAACGGACGCGGGTGCCTTATCTTGTTGCAACGACCTAATACACAAACGCGACGACTGGAAAATTTCATTATTTTCAATCGCGCGATAACTTTTGCTGGCTTCTTAGCGATTTTAATATGTGATGTATCGATGTTGTTCATTTTTATTACATCGACATATCGTTAATATCAGTATATTTAAATATATCAAGATAGAGTATTACGTGATGTAACTTAAATATTATATTATAAGCAACGAACTACAAACTGTAACGTAATTAAGTATACGAGCTACCTTATTAAAACTTTATTTTTTTTTATCCTCTAATTGAACAATTTTTCACATTTTTT